CGGCCGCCTTGAGGAGAGCATAGCAGTTTGACGTAGAGTGAGAGCTAGTGGCCGCCTGCTTTCCTTCCTTGGTCTTAGCTTGAAATTTGAATCCCGGTCTCTGGGTCTTTTATTATTCATGCTACACCTGCTCAATGTGCACCCCGGGCCCTCCAGTCCTCCCTCGTGTGTAGAAGAAGCTGGTCTGATGGTGATTGAGTTGTTTTATTGAACTTTGTTCCAATATATATATATATATATATATATATATATATATATATATATATATTTGTAGAACCCTTTTTGCTGAATTTCTCATTAAAGTTGAATTTTTCATCCGAATTATAAATTGGCTTCATCTGAATAAATACCCCTGAGGTTATTCATCATTAAAGCAAAATAATTTGGTGTGTGTGTGTGTGTGTGTTTCTGAAAGTATGTTCATGTACCACATGTATGCTGAGGTGGAAGAGGAAAGGGATTTTCTGGGGCTTGAGGCAGATGTTCGTGAGCTGCTGGGTGCTGGGAACCAAATGCAGGGCCTCTTCAATAGCAGCAGCACTCTGAGCTCCTGACCATCGGCCCAGACTTGTGGTTTCCTTTTGTGGAGTCAGGTCTCAACTAGGTAGCTCTGACTGAGTGATCTAGAACTTTCAGAGTAGAGCAAGCTGGCCTCAGACTCACAAAGATGCGCCTGCCTCTGCCTCCCAAGTGCTGGGATTAAAGGTGTGCGCCACCAACGCCCAGCCTGACTTTCCAGTTTTTTTTTATGTAGCATTTCAATCATTTTAATATCATTGAAATGGTAATATAGAGTAAAAAGGTTAAGTGTTGGTGTGTGTGTGTGTGAGGGAGAGTTGAATGTGCAGCTTCTTTCCTGGGCCTCTGAAACGTGTCTGCTAGCCTCTGGGAAGACGTCACCCGTCTGTAGATGGTTTTTACTGCATGCAGCTGCTCCTGGCCTCCACTGGGCTGAGGCCTGGGATGGTCAGTGTGAAGCTGTCGGCATCAAAGCTGATTGAACCTTTCTAGGCTCCGTGCTTTGGGAGCTGCTGCTGGTCCCAGTGGGCTTTGCAGCCTGTATCCCATCCGGGTTCCTGTTCCCTCCAGAGTACCCCCTCCACCCTCTGCACCCAGAGGTCATAAATGCCCCAGCTGAAGTGTCAGAGGCTGGGGTCAGCAAGCTGAACTGAGTTCTGCACGCAGGAAGAGGGAGGGGGAACTTTAAGAGACTCACCCAGCATCCCACTGTCCTGTGGGAGAGGAGGCTGGAGATGTGCTAGACCCACGCTCAGAGCTTTCTGTTTCCATGGTAATGTGCAGTGAAAGGCTTGCCCCTCGACACAGAACCCAGGCTCCTCTGCAGTGCATCCCAGCCTCTTGCTGTGTCTACTTATGGTCCTCCCCCTTTTTGTGCCTTTGTGGCTGTCTCCATGGCAACCCAATGTCAGGGAGTCCCCAGGATCCCTGATATTGATTGCTGCTTGCTTTCTGTACCTCAGAGTGCCTGAGCCTCAAACTGTGAGTAACTCCTTCTAAATGTGGTGGCTGACTACATTGCACTCTGACATAGAGGGCTGACAAGACTAAGTTTCTGCTTGCCTGCCAGAGGTTTAAGGCCGGTAGCAAATGTGGTCTTGCCTGGTGGTGATGGCACACAACTTTAATCCCAGCATTCGGGAGCCAGAGGCAGGCAGATCTCTGTGAATTCAAGGCCAGCCTGGTCTTGAGAGCAAGTTCCAGGACGGCCAGGGCTACACAGAAAAACCCTGTCTGGGAAAAGTGTGGTCTTTGACTAGGACAACCTCCATCCTGGACGGCTCAGGTTCTACCACCACTGCCTGGTTTCCAGGCTCGCTCTCTTGGGATGCAATCTCACCTGTGTTACCCAGATGCTCAGCCTCACTGTTTCTAGGATAGAGTGCCCATTTCAAGGCCTCTTGAAATGGCATTAAAGAGTGTCCTTTCCATGTGGGAAGACTGTCTTAGCAAGCCCAGCCTACCCTGTGTGCTCCGTTCTACCTGTTCATGGAGTTACTCTCCAGACCCCACTGATCCCAGCCAGAAGCACCGTGGCAGAGGTGGCTTCTCACCCAGTCCTCGAGTTTTGTGTGACCTGTCCAGTGGGGTTTTTTCCTGGTCTGAACCCTGCCAGTTTCTGGCCTTACTTCACCCTTATGCACCCTTCCAAGTAGTGTGCTACATAAACCGCATATCCAAATGGGGTCTGATTGGCCTGGGTGGTAGGTTCTGGGCCAGGCTGCCTATCACTGGCCGCTCATCACACTTGTAAGGCTGTCGGTCAGCCGCTGAAGGCCCCAACTGAGATGGTTTAGCATGCTTGCTAGGAAGCTGTCTGCCACTGTGTGTGGGCTGGGGATCAGACTTGGGTCCTTGACACTCCAAGCAACTGCTCTACACTGAGCTGTCTGCTGCCCTGAGACACTGGAGGTTGGGAGCCCCCGCCTTCCTCTTCATTTTCTTGTCACATGACAGGGTCTGAGGTCCAGCTGTGACACATCTCTGGTGGTGCACATCTTACCTGGGATGTGCTTTCAGTTTTCAGCTTTGTCACGGGAAGGGAGCTGGCCTCGGGAACAGTCTACCAAGGACTGTCACGCAGCAGATCTAGTCCAAGTCCCAAGGTTCCTGCAAGGCCTTCCTTCCTCGTGAGGACTCCAGCCTGAGAGCATGAGCTGTCCGTCTTTCCCTCTTCCTCTGAATGGAGCCACCCCAGAACCACACTTGGTATCATTCTCCAACCTTTCAGAGGACACACCATAGATGCGGCTCAGCGAATATATAGTTGCAAAGAGAAAGAGTAAAAAGGCTTCGTGTGTACACAGGGGTGCCAGCCGTGCGGTCGCTCTAGTGACCAAGCACCTGGCCAGCAGCAGTTTGAGCAAGCCAGGGGGCTCCTGTGGCTTCCTGATTACACTGAGCACAGCCCAGCACGGTCAGGACTGTCCGGTCAGGATGCACAGCAGTGAAGCCTGCTGCTCAGTCACACCCTGTTTATTCAGGGTGGGACCCAAGCCCGGGGTAACGCCGCCCACACTGGGGTGGGCCGTCCACATCCATCAGACTCATCTAAAAACAGTCCCTCGCTGACTATGGTAGCATGAACACACCTTTAATCTCAGCACTCTGATTTTGAAGTCAGCCTGGTGGATGTGGGTAGCTCCAGGACACCCAGGGCTACATAGAGAAACTGTCTCAAAAAATAAAAATGTGATTAAAAAAAGGGGGGATGATGGGAGATGCCATTCTGTATATGTTTCTCATACTGGTTAATGAATAAAGCACTGTTGGCCAATAGGAAAGCAAGATAGGAGGGACTAGGAGACAAGGAGGAAAGAGGAAGTAGATAGGAGGAGTCAAGATGGAGACACCGGGGAGACCAGATGCTGGCCCCACTCCCCGGTAAGGAAACCACGTGGAAATACATAGAAATGGGTTAATAATTAAGACAGAGCTAGCCGATAAGAAACTAGTAACGGGCCAACAGAATACATTGAATAGAGTCTCTGCGTTAATTGGGGGTGGCGCGGCGTCGGGACCAGACCGGCAGGTGGAAAAACCTTACACCTTATGGGGGAGGGGGAGTAAAATCTGTAATTGGACATTTCTCTCCTAATCTCCCAGTCCCAAACAACCAACTCAGAGGTGAGTATTACCTATAAGTGCTCCGTCGATAACTCAGACTTGTTACTAGCAACTCTTACACTTAAATTAATCTGTATTTCCATCTACACACTGCTACATGGCATGGAATCTTCTCAGTACCACATTCTCATCCAGCTTCTCTCTCTTGACTCTGACTCTGCCCTTCTTCCCAGATTTTGTGTTTGTTTGTTTTCTTTTTAGAGACAGGGTTTCTCTGTATTGTTTTGGAGCCTGTCCTGGAACCAGCTCTGTAGACCAGGCTGGCCTCAAACTCACAGATATTCTCCTGCCTCTGCCTCCCGAGTGCCGGGATTAAAGGTGTGCACCACCAACGCCCGGCCTTTTCCCAGAATTCTTGTACTCTGGTTCTTGCACTCAATCTCTTCCTGCCCAGCTATCGGCAAATCAGCTTTTTATTAGCAAATTAGAGCAATACACATTCACAGTGTACAAAAAGATGGTTCCACAGCAAAAGTCCCTCATAGCCTTCCCCCATGCTGATTCTAAGTCCCATCCATTTAACAGTCATGGTGGCCCAGCACACTATTCTCAACCAAAGGGAAATGGGGCCAGCCTAAGATGTCCACCATTAAAGAAAATGTGTGTCCGTGGTGGTGGTGCACGCCTTTATTCCAGCACTCAGGAGGCAGAGGCAGGTGGATCTCGGTAAGCTCGGGGATGGTCTACAGAGTGAGTGCCAGGTCAGACAGCCAGAGCTGTCACAGAGAAACCAAAGTCAGTAGGGTATGCAATGACTTGCAGTGGGTGGCTTCGGTTTTTGTTCAGGTTTCTATTGCTGAGAGCGGTTTCCCGCCGATTTCCAGGATAGCGTGTTTCATTCTTTTAAACTAGTAATTTCTAGCTGTGATTACAGAATGTTCACTGATCATCTGGTGCATCAGGGACTCTTTTTGGTCTTAGTAATAAAAACTTGGAGTCAGCTAACAGAGTGTGAAAGTTGAAGGATCAGAGAAGCAGAGCCGCCAACCACTAGAGAGTTCTTACTTTACCAATGCTCAGACCACAGGCCAACCCTGTCATCAGACTGCATGCCCACACTGCCTGCCTGCCTGGACTGCCTCTTTCCTGTCTCCTCCCGCCTTATACTCCTCTCTCCACTCAGCCATGTCTCTCCTGTCTCCACCTCCCTAGTGCTGGGATTAAAGGCATGTGATCACTGCTAGGATCGCCTTTTTATGAGTTGTTTCTCTTTTAGACAGATTCAATCTCAGGTAGCCCGGGGTGGCCTTGAACCCACAGAAATCTGTCTGCCTCTGCCTCTAGAGTGCTGAAATTAAAGGTGTGACCACCACTGCCTGTCCTCTGTGGCTGACTAGTGACTTAGCTCTGCCCTCTGATCTTCAGGCAAGCTTTATTTAGCATAAACAAATATCCCCACAATCTGGTTGCATTACACACGAATTTAAACTTAACTTTCAGCTTAATTTTTAACATCTTTCCCCCTTTTCCTGGCACACCTGGAAGATGCCGATCGCACCACAAACTCCTACCAATACAGTCAAACCGTGATCTCCAGGAACTGTGGTTTGTTCCCAATTAGGGATTTAGACTGGGCCACTGATGAGGAGCTTAGGACCAGAGCGCGATGTAAACCGCAAATGTGAATGATTACTTCATCAGCAGGGTTTCAGTTACGGCATCAGCGATCTCTGAGGGACTCTGGTGCACGCTGACTTGGATGAAGTTTTCAGGAGGTGCCGGGGGCTCCAGAACACTGAGCTGGGACTGCAGTAACTCCGGAGGCATAAAATGTCCTTTTCGTTGGAATAAGCGTCTGGAAATGATCTCAGCCGACCCACAGAGGTAGACCACCAAGAGCTGTTTGCCAGCCAGCCTTTGCTTTGCCGACTCATCATCGCCTTTCACGGGCACATCGCTTCCTCCTCCTATCAAGATGTCTCTGTACATTTTCTTCAGGGCTGAACAGGCTAGAACGACACGCTGTCCCGAGGTCACATCTCTGTTTCCAAAATATAAGAAACACCCCACGCCCCTTAATAAAAAGGATGAGGGCCGCAGAATGGGGGTACTGTGTGTCAGTCTTAGGTGGGTGGACTAGTCTCTGCCAATGTAAAGTGTTGCTTGAAAATGGAGATTAAGCCCTGGGTGCTCTCAGCCTTAAACAGTGTCTTTTTTTTTTTTTTAAGATTTATTTATTATGTATACAGTGTCTGCCTCCATGTGGGCTAGAAGAGGGCAGCAGATCTTATTATAGATGGTTGTGCGCCACCATGTGGTTGCTGAGAATTGAACTCAGGACCTCTGGAAGAGCAGCCTTTGAGCCAGCTCTCCAGCCCTCTAAACAGTGTCTTTTGTTAGTGAACTGAGTAATTAATCTTGGGCTCACTTGTTCAATGGCCCCTCAGAGCTGTCCAGAGGAGAGAGCTGGCATGTACCTGGTATGTACAGGTGTTGGGCAGAGCTGGCATGTACCTGGTATGTACAGGTGTTTAGCTCTACCTCAGTGGGTGCAGCTAGCTGTAATGTCACATGTGTTTGTTTTGTTTTGTTTTTTTTAGCTTACTGGATTACACCAGGGCCAGATGACTTCTTACCTTAGTAAAATGTCATGCAAGCTGCAGAGCCATGGAACCCTGTCCTGAGATTAGAACAGGAATTAGGAGCTATCCCAGGTATCGCTTGAACAGAAACAGTGGTACCATAGTCCCAAACATTAGCTCCAGAGACATCTTAGTGGTTGTGGGAGCTGGGCATAGGCAAGCCAAGGGCCACGCCCAATGCCCTTAAACTGTTACTTTACATCCCCTGCAACCTCCCCACTGTGTAAATGTCTCCCTGGCTTTGATGCTCACACACCTCGCACTATAGCTGACGTGTTCTGCCTGCATCTGACCAGAACCTACAGCCAAGCACGTGCTGTGCGTCTGAGCGCATTTCAGCCCTTGACTTACCCCACTGCCCAGCTCTGACAGTTTCTCCCTATAGCCCTGGCTGCCTTAGAACTCACTCTGCAGATCAGGCTGGCCTGGAACTTAAGAAATCCGCCTGCCTCTGCCTCCAGAGTGCTGGGATTAACAGCGAGTGCCTCCACCGCCCCACCGAGTTAATTTCTTAATCTAACACTTGAAGTTGCCTTTCAAAATGACTCCTGAAATGCCTTGTGGTTAGCCAAGGTTTCCTGTCACATTCAAGCACTAAGGGGATGGAAAGGTTGATATTTATGCTTTTAAATTGTGACCTTTGATATATTTTCCTTTTTTTAAGCATTGGTTACTTTATGTGGGTGTTCTGCCTATGTGTGTAAGTGCACTGAGTGCATGCAGTGCCCGCAGAAGCCAGAAGAGAGCGATGGATCCCCTGGAACTGCTGTGAGCTGCCATGTGGGCGCTGGGAATAGAACCCCAGACCTCTGCAAGAGCAGCAGGTGATCCCAACCACTGAGCCACCTCTCCAGCCTCTCAGATATATTCTCTGAAGCAGACTCTTGGCCTGTGTAGCAGAAGGTGACTCAGCCTGGAAGTCCCAATGCCACCCAAGAAAGTTCTACCTCCTTCCCTAGAATTCTAAACAGGGTTGTCACCCACCCACCCCCACCACATCTCTCCCCCCCCTTTTTTTTTTTTTTTTTTTTTTTTTTGCATTTAAGCAGCCCAGATTTACTTCTGGGGAAGCCTTTCTTTGGTGGATTATCAAGACCTTCAGCTCAGCTGGGAACGTAGGTACGGCCTTTGAGTAGACTTCCCCAAGGAGTGGCCTAGGAGCAGAGATATTAAAGATGAACCCGGTGGAGGAGGAGACATCCACACAGCAGTGGACACAAAAGCCCTATGAGGGGGAGCATGGCCACAGGAGGGGCTAAGGAGCTGAGAGGCTCCTGTGACAATGGAGGAGAACCCAATCCTCTAAAGAGACTCAAACTTGAGGTCAGTTAAAAGCTAAAGGGCCTCACACATGGTACCAGGTGCGGTCGTTTGAGTGAGAACTTGGGGGGGGATTAAAAGGTGTCGCCTCCTGGAGGTGTGCCACCGCCACCGGGGGCAGGCTTTGAAGTTTCAAACGGTTTGTGTATTCCCAGAGTGCTCTCTGCCTGCTGTTCCTGAGGGCTCGCCTTTGCCCCACCACCATGGGCTCTAACCCTCTGAAACCGTAAGCCCGTTTAAACGCTTTCTTTTACAAGATGCCTTGGCCATGCTGTTTTAGCACAGCAATGGAAAGCAATTAAGACACATGGCCACATCTGAGTTTGCATCATGGCTGTGGCCTTGGAGCTCACCAGAACTTGATGGTGTGGGGGCAGGGAGAGGACCTGGGAGGCACTAACTTCCCAGGGTTAGCACAAAGGAACCTCGGCCCACGTGGGGAGTAGACATTAAAACCCTGCAACAAGCTGTGGCTGGCTGTGCACGGGACGGGGCGGAAGGCAGCTCTCTCCTGGGGCTGAGTAAGGAGGCCCGATACAGAGATATTGGACGCCGACAGCCAACGATACCTGGTCGCTCAGTGGTATCCCTTCCCCCATCTTCTTCCGATTCTCTTCAGAGTGGTAATCGTCGGCGTCATAGAATTTCCATCCCAGCTTAGGAATGAAGGGAAGGCATAGGTAGAGTCAGCAAGGCCATGGGCGGAGCTTACCGCAGGCAGATATAGAAATCACTGGTCTGAGGCTGCCCCTCCCTCTCACCATTACCACAAACATAGAAAGGGAGGACACACTGGACAAGGGAGGTTACCTTGGAGGCCAGCAGCGCGCCCACGGTAGATCTGGAGAAAGAATACAGACATAAGTGCCAGGCGTTTTGAGAGGATGCCTGTGGTCCCTCTGCGGTCCCAAAGCAGAGAAGCCCTTAACCCTGGAGTCTGCAGGCAGCTTTCATTGTCCTAAGACATGCTATCCAGAAAGCAATGCATCAGACCTAATTAGACCACTGAGCCGCGTGGTCTGCATGACATGCCTGTACATTACGTGTACACTGCAGGTACATGCCTGTAATCCCAACACTTGGAGGCCCACAAAACAACAACAGAGTTGTTTTTGTTTTCTCTCACTAGTCAGTACTTCGCAGGTGGCACATATCTATAATCCCAGGATATGAGGAGGCAGGAAGATGGTTGGTTCGAGGCCAGTTTGAATGACAGGCACACTGAGGTGCTGACTCAAAAAAAAAAAAAAAAAAAAAAAAAAAAAAAAAAACCAAACCAAACAAACAAAAAACCAACAACAGAATCATTTAGTTCCTATTGTGTAGACAGATGTTCACCTTTTGAGAGAGAATACCAAATGAATAAAATGGTAGTTTTATCAAGGATTCAAGAAAGGGTTGGTTTTGTTTTTAAAAAATAGTATTTTGGGGGCTGGAGAGATGGGTCAGAGGTTAAGAGCACTGGCTGCTCTTCCAAAGGTCCTGAGTTCAGTTCCCAGCACCCACATGGTGGCTCACAAATACCTGTAATGAGATCCAATGCCCTCTCTTCTGGCCTGCAGGGATACAAAACACTGTATACATAATAAATAAATTTTTAAAAAATACTATTTTGTTTTGTGTTGGCCAACTACTAAAGCGTGGTTGACATACCCAGTAAGAGAGGAGTTTAGCCGGGCCTTTAATCCCAGCACTGGAGAGGCAGAGGCAGGCGGATCTCTGTGAGTTCGAGACCAGCCTGGTCTACAAGAGCGAGTTCCAGGACAGACTCCAGAGCCACAGAGAAACCCTGTCTCGAAAAACCAAAAAAAAAAAAAAAAAAAAAAAAAACCGAGAGGAGTTTATTAAGACACTTAATCCCCAGCAGCACCGTGTAAATAAAGTTCAGGGCACATAAAGACATCTAAGAGTTCTTAGTTTCCTAGATACACGAGAGGGGCTGGAGAGGAGGCTCAGCAGTTAGAGCACTGGCTGCTCTTCTGGGGACGCTGGGTTCTGTTCCCAAAACCCTCATGGCAGCTTGCAACCATCTGTAACTCCAGTTGCAGATCTGATGCCCTCTGCTGGCTTCCTTGTGAACAACAAAAAACCCCACACTTAAAGACACACCTGAAAGACCCGGTCAGTGACTGGAGAATGGCCAACCCCTGTTAGGACAGGGTGTCTCACCGAGTGTGCTAGTGAGGCTGGGGCCTCACAGTGGGGTCTGGGTCCCAGTCATCATTCTGTCACTAAATGAGCTTGAAGCCCTCAGTTTACACAGGGGAACCGAGCCCCCTGAGTTTTCTGTCCACTAACCTGTAGTTTATCCAGACAATTAAAATAACTTTGTTTTTATGTATATGGATGTTTTGTTTGCATGTAAGTTAGTGTCCCACGTGTGTGCAGTGCCCATGGACGCCAGAAGAGTGTCTGGAACTTGGGTTACAGACCGTTGTGAGTCACCATGTGAATGCTGGGAATTGAACCCAGGTCTTCTGCAAGAGCAGCACTGAGCTATCTCTCCAGTCCCAATTCAGTCAGTTTTTATTGAATATGTACTACTACTAGCTCCCAGAAGACAAAGAGGAGACCACTATGATATACCGGGATTTAAGGTGAGTGCCACCAGACCTGGCCCAAACCTGGCACGCACGCACACACACACACACAATCACTTTTAGATTAACTATGAATACACATATAGCCACCAGCTGTAGTCTAAAATACGAGCTGAGCTGTGTGTCAAATGGAGAAAGGTAGGCAGGACAGGAAAAACCCACTATCCCTGCTCCATCCAGATCTAGACTAGAGGACGTGGTTCCAGGGCACGGGACCACAGCAGGGACAAGGCATCGTGTGGGGCTCGCAGGCAATGGCTGGATCTAAGCTTAGGAGCCAAACTTCAGGACCCAGGTGTCTCTCTCCCAGCAGGTTGGACTAAAGGCAATTCAGAAGACAGTAGGCCAGTGGGGGGCAGGGAAGGAATGGAGAGAACCAGATTTGAAAGGTTCCCCCCAGCACAAGCTGAGGTGGCTTCACTATGGTGTTAAAATGTAAGAAAACAAACTCAGCATACCCCACACACAGGACGATCCCTGAGTGTGAAAGGCCAGCCTCAGCTGCAAATCAAAACTCCTATCTCAACTTAAAGACTACTTAGACACCCTGCACGGAGGCTAAGACAGGAATTTGGGGAACATAAAGCTACCTTCTGAGGCTGGGGAGACGGCTCACTGGTTAAGCGTGCATCCTGTTCTTGCAGAAGGCTTGAGATCAGTTCCCTGAACTGACATGATTGGCTCACTGCCAATCACTGTAGCCCAGCTCCAGAGGACAAAACCTCTGAAGGCACCTGCACTTGCCTGTGCGGGAGCGGGCACACACACACACTTAAAAAATAATGAAAATAAATCTTTCGAAGGACACAGTTACACTTAAAAAGGCTCTGGTTCATAAGTCAGCATCTACTTCGGTGCCTGTGGCTGTGTATTGCAGTTTGGTGTCTTTGGGGGGTTATATCGGTGCGGTCTGGCAGCGTCCCATCAACCAAATGCCTACTGCTCGCTTAGTTCTAAACGGGCTGCTGCACTGGGCTAGGAAGAAACTTTCCAGTGTAAGCAGGAACACGATCAAGGAAGACGATACCTTGCAGCGTGATCTTCACTTTTCAAAGTCTATTTAGAAAAATCCAGAAACTCCCCAAGGACAGAGGGAGACAATCTGCCCAACCAGGACAAGGTTCGCCTCTGGGTTTGGGACTTTGCACCCTCCCATCGTGCTTTGCAAGATGCCGCCAGGCCCGGGTTTGTAAGGCTGAGCTGCAAGGTGTTACAACTTCCCGCTCTGGACTCCAGCTGCCTCGCTGTGCCCGACCGTCGTTCCGGGAATGCTAGCCACCATCATCAGAACCTAGGCGTGGTGACCCTGGGGAGCGGCCAGCGGGACCGGAGAGCAGGGGACCTCGGCAGGGGCGGCAAAGGCATGGCTCCCGGGGCTCAGGCCGCCCCACCGCCTCCGGGTTGCAGCTCGCCCGCCCGCCCGCCCGCGGCCTCCGCTCCGAGACCTACTTGCCGGAGCCGCTCACGCCCATCACCAGCAGCACCGCGGGTGCCTCCATCTCCCAGCGGCTTGGTCCTCAGCGCCCTCTTCCGGGACAGGTCCCGCCCGGTCCCTGACGTCACAGGCCATGCCCTGGCCGAGTCCGCTGCAGACCCGACCGCTGGGCGGTGCAGCCGGGGAGCAGCAGCTGGCGTCTCCTGGTGCTCTGCAACGCGGAACCCACCCGGGGCGCGTGGACAGTGACAGAAACGTTTTACTAAGAAAGACAACAATCGGACAAGGGCGTGGGGCCAGGGACGTCTCCCCGTGTCTCTGTCTCCCTCTCCTCCCCCCCCCCCATCACGCTCTCAGCCCGCAGCTCTCTGTCCCCACCGGTGCGTGCAGACAGCGAATCTGCTGCGTCAGTGTCTTCTGCAGGAAGTGACAGAACACAACGCTGCAGGCGTCCTCGCTAAATCCGTGGGGCCCACGCTGGCTGCGGGCTCAGCAAGGACCCCCACCCCCACCCAGGAGGCGGCTCTTCCCGGTAGGGCCTCGTGTCAATGACGTGCAAGCAACACGGGCTTCACCCACAGCGCCCACCAGCCACAGCTGTTTGCTCTAAGGACAAACGTAAACACATGGGTGTGTCACCAGAAGCAAAGCCTTGTCACTGAGTCCCAGAGGCAAACTCACAAGCAAGTCTCTTCTTTTTAAAAATGTTACATGTGCCCGGCAGTGGTGGCGCACGCCTTTAGTCCCAGCACTAGAGGCAGACGGATGGATATCTGTGTGTTCCAGGCCAGCCTGGTCTACAGAGTGAGTTCCAGGACAGCCAGATCTACACAGAAACCCCACCTCAAACAAAAGAAAACAAAAAGGTGTGTGTGTGTGCCTGGTGCCTGCGGAAGTCAGAAGACGCCACTGTATCTTAGGTCACCTCTAGATTTGAGAAAATACCAAAATGTTTTACAAAGCACTCTGGCCATCTTGATCTTTGCTTTAAAAAAGGATTTCTTTATTTGTGTATATAGGTGTGCATGCAGTGTTTGCAGAGGCCATACAGGGGCATTGGGGCCTGGGAAACTGGAGTTACAAATGGTTGTGAGCTGCCATTCGAATCCTGGGAACCAAATCCTGGTTCCCTGGTCCTCTGCAAGAGCAACCGATGTTCCTAACCACTGAGCGTCTCTCCAGCCACACCCCCATCCTTCCTCCTTGAGACACTGCCTTGTGCTGGTTCTAAGACACGACACTCTTGTAGCGTGTCTGCTACCTCAGTTGCTGCTCTTTCTTAGCCCCTGTTGTGTTTTTAACCTCCTCCTGGTCCTCCTCACCCTCCTCTTCCTCTTTCTATTCCTCCTCTGTTTTTGTTTGTTTGTGTTTTTGTTTTTTTCCCTCAGGTTCCAAATGTTGGAACGACCCTGGGCTTTGTCTTGAGACAGCTTCTCTGTTACAGGGTCTTGCTGTCTCGTGTGTTTGAATACTGTGTGCAAATCACTTCGAAATAGATCTTTATTCCTGATCTCCATACATCCATTTGCTCACTTAACTCTTAGATTGCCTAATTCAAGACTTAATGTTAACAAAACAAAATCCATAAGAACGCCTATCTCCTCTCTCCAAAAGTTAGACAGTGAATCTGGTTTCCACGTGAGAGGTCAACTGATCCTCCCCAGTGCTGGGATTAAAAGTGTGTAAGCCTTGAGAGTTCCATGGTGACATGCTGTATGTAGATGGACTTTGACTACACAGTGAGCACGGGTCATGCTGAGGGCTGGAGGGTGGCTCAGAGCAGAGCATTTATCTAGTACACGCAAGGATCTGGGCTCAGGGAACAGCAAAGGGAGGAAGAGGGAGTATGGTGGCCTTTTTCTAAGTGGATCAATGGACAAATGTACTCAGTGACATCTTTAATCCCAGGACTCGAGGCAGAGACAGGCAATTCTCTTCAAATTCTAGACCAGCCTGGGCTACACAGTAAGACCCTGTTATATATTTTTTAATATTTTTAAAATAAATTTTAAAATTTAAAATAATTTTGTAAAAATCGTTTGTTTTTTATTTTCATGTGTGTTGGCATTTGCCAGCATGTCTATCTGAAGGTGTCCCCTGGGGCTGGATTTACAGACAGATGTGAGCTGCCATGTGGGTGATGAGACTTAAACACCCAGCCATATCTTCAACCTTTGCTTTTGTTCTTTAAAGAGGATACAATAGAGACTTGACTCGCAGTCACAGGAATTGGGCAAAAGGACATGAACTGACCTTTTTCCTAGTTTTAACTACAGCATAGTGGATTTTTTTTTGTTGTTGTTTGTGGTTACTGAAAAATTTCTATACCCCATAAGCCTCTCTGCCTATACAACAATCCAAATCACACCAAATCAAACCAAATTAGAAAAAGCCCACATTTAATGGATACAACACTTCCCGATGACCTTCCAGTCCCCCAGAGAAAGGGAGACCAGAAAAACCACAGGTCTAGTTTCTGGGAGGAGGGGAGGCAGTTTCAATTCCATGTGGGCGTGGTTTTGAGCATCTCTGGGGGAGGGGTCATCCTTTGGCAGCTTTCTGAGATGCAGCAGGATTTGGAAGAAAATGTGGGTGGGGACTTGGGGGGAATTTCCACCATAACATCCAAGACTCTTTGGGTCTATGGATGCCAGGGACTGGGGCGAAGCCTCCACCTTAACAGTCACTATGTGAATTCAAATTTTGGATATTGAAGTAACAAGAACAGTTTCTGCGTTCCAAATGAATCCAACACGTGCCTTTCCTGTGAGGCAGTGAGTGTGGAAGCTGGGTGTTCTCTTTTTGCAACAAGGTTTCTCTGTGGAGCCCGGCTGTGGTGGAACTAGCCCTGGAGACCAAGCTGGCCTTGAACTCGTCTATTGAGTGCTTATGCCTAAGTGCTGGGATTAAAGCCATGTGCCACCTTAGCTCTGGGCATTCTTTTTAATTCCACGAACCATCAATGTGGTAAGAATTAAACACCACTGATCACTGAAGACATCTGTTCATTGACCCCCTTAGCAAAAGTGATTTAAAAAATAATTTGTTTTAGAAGGAGGGATTTCATAACCTAAAACTTCTAATTTTTCTTCGGTTTAAAACTGTATCTGTCAGGGCTGGATGGATATCTCCCTGGTTAACAGTAAGTACTGACTGCTCTTATATAGGATCCAGGTTCAGTTCCCAGCAACCCCATGATGGTTCACAGCCATCTGTAACTCCAGTTCCACGGGCTCTGACGACCTCTGCTGACCTGGGCAGGCACCAGGCACACACACAGCACACAGACACACATTTGGACAAGACACATATGCATAAAATAATTTTTTAGAAAAGACTATAGTATTGAGATAAAAATAGAGTTTACATCTTAAGAAAATCAATGAGCTATTTATAATTTTAAAAAGAGGAATCTTTGAGCGCCAAAGATATCAGGGGTTGTTGAATGAACAACAAGTGATGGAAATTAACAAGTTATTAGAAATGCACCTGACGTAACTTTTGTCACGGGGAGAGGAAGTGCGGGGGATACCGAGCAGTAGGACGGTAGATTCAGCTGCGTGTGAGACGCAGCCAACTGTGGACTGCTTTGGGCGCACTGGGCTGGGTGGTTGTGACAGGTCTCACGCTTCATTTTAGAATGAACAGAGAGAGTGTCACAGAGAAGGGGTAGAAGTAGGATTATTTTAAATAGAAAATTTGCATGTGTGCTTCAATGAAAATGGCATGCCAGGCATTGGCGGCGCACTTGGGGGGCAGAGGCAGGTGGATCTCTGAGCTTGAGGCCAGTGAGGGCTTCATAGAGAGACTCTGTCTTGAAAACAAAAATAAACAATGAAGACATGACTGCTCCCAGGTATGACTGAGGAGAAGGGTTTTATTGTAGATATGAGGGAGAGCATGGCCAGAGGCATCTGGAAGAGTCCAGACGGAACATGGCCAGGAGAGACCGGGCCGTGGGAGGGGAGAGTGAGGTGTAGCAAGAGAGGAAGAGAAGAGAGAGATGGAGACCAGAGGACCGGGAGGGTCATAGGAGCCAAGAGAGCATGAAGCCAAAATGGCTGGGTTACATAGGGAAGAGAAGCTGGGGGCAGGGTAGGGAAGCCCAGCCCCTGGGTTGGAGAGGTTTGGGGTAGGGCCTGGGTAAGAAGTGCAGGAGGGGACACAGGTACAGAGGGAGACTTGTCACAGGTTTCTTTGAGACTTAACAGCAGCGAGATTAACCCAACAGAACCTTGAGCTACAGCTTAGCTGCACTACTACAAATTTTGGTCAAGCGCCAAAGATACCCAAGTCCTTGGATGAACAACAAACGGTGGAAATTAGCACATTATCGGAAACGGAAATGAATTTGATGTGAAATTTTAGTCATTGAAAGGAGATCCAGTTATTGATAATGACAGTGCTTCCTACACCATTCAGAATTGTAATTAGAGCCCTGGGCAGAAAGGAGCGTGGACTTCAGGGAGCTGGGCTGTCCGATGTTTGGGGAGGTGGCCAGTGTCACCGCAGGGACTCACTCCTTGGGGAGCATGTGGCATGAGTGACTCCGTTTCACGTCCGTCCGTACACTGTTGTTCTGGAAATGTTGGCCATTTTCACTTTCTCTACCGCTCTACCTTTAGTTGGAGGAGATGCATGTGCTCCTCTGCCTCTCTTATTAATATACTGCAAGTATGATGTTAGTACATGCCATTTAACTAAGAATGTGTAGACCCTGGAGTGGCTCCAAAAGACTTTACATCCACGTGGTCTGACTGGAACAGAGGGTCCCGCTCCGGGTCAGCTCCCCGCCTCCCTTCCCGTTCAGTCTCTGCTCATTTATTTCTGTGGTGCTGGGAAACAGAGCCTCCCACACCGTAGGAGGGGGCTGTACCACCCAGCCATCCCCACCCTCACGCACCTCTTCTGTGGGTTCGTGGTAGTTAGTTCCCCCAGAATACTCTCACGGGCTCGGGGACCTCAACAATGGAATTGTACTTTCTCACCAGTTCTGAGATCAGAAGTCTGAGACCCAGTGTGCGCATGGCTGATGTCACCGCCTTCCTTGGCTTGCAGGTGGCTGGCTTCTTCTCATGCCTTCCCACTGTCTCGCCGCTGTAAGCATGTGCTCCAGTGCCTTCTTCTTGTGTGGGCATTGCAATACTGAAACAGCCCTTCCTGATGGCCGCACGTTACTTTAATTGCTGCTTTAATGACTATTGCATTGACAAAGAGACAGACGGCTGGGTCAGTAAAGTGCTTGCTTTGCAAGCACAAGGACCTGAGTTCAAGCCCTGGACCTGGGTGGAAACGTCATGTGGGATGGCACCGGCTGTGACCCTGGTGTTCTCAAGCAGAGACTAGCAGCTCTCTACGGCCTGCTGGCCACCCAGCCTAACCCACTTAAGGAGCTTCCGGCCAGTGAGAGCCCCTGTTTCAAAAACACCCAGAATGTCCTCTGTACTCCACATGCAAATGCCCTCTGTAAATGCATGTGCACACTCACGCGTACAGACACACACACACACAGGCACGCACACACGCGTGAAA